TTAAGTACCCTTAAGAGCTTCAAGGGATGAATGCTTACTGTTAATGGGTATTTGAATTCGTTCGTTATTTGCAAGAAAACTCATGGTTCCTACAGCTTTTGGATCTACATAATATATCATCTCTGCTAATTTGAAAATTTGCTCATTATCACTGTCTGCCATTGCACCCGACATCCCCACGCGTGTTAGCTTCACAAAAATAAGAGCTGATTGGTTGAAAAATGCAGACGTCACGGAAGTCGTTTCCCAGCTCGGGATCGCAGACGATATTTTCTTGGCGGGTGAGACACGCAAGAGCCGACAAAGGCGTCTACTCTAGCAGGCTAGGTCATTTAGGAAAAATAATAACGACTAGTCCTTTAAGGCATTTTAAAAAAGTTCATTTGAACTTCCATCAATTATTTTTTCCAAAATTTGTCTTCAGTTGAAACTTACCACCTATTTAAACCAAAATAGTTAGTTAAAAATCACGAATATCGCATAAAGTATTTTAAAGTTCATGTACTGTACGACAAGCAAACCATTCAGAATTTTGTTCCGTTTGAAAAACGTCTTTCCTACGGATAATTTATTGATCCCCGCGAGCGTTAGGCTTTTGTACATTATGCTTTTGCTTCCCTACTAAAATGCTCCGCCTTATTGCACCATTTTTCCCACTAAAATGCTCGGTCTCCCCAAAAAAGTCACTAAAATGCTCGGATAATGCTCATTATACAAACGGTTTTTTTAAATTAATTTCAAAGTTTACACTTACAAAAACGTGCAAGTGTTGCAAGTAACAACGACAACGTGTACAAGTTCATAAATACAGCCAAACAAAAAACAGCTGTATTAGGTTTTTTGTGAATTTTGAGTTTTAGTCTTCATTTTGTTTAAACAAGCAGGAGCTCATGGGGCATGGGCTCCTGAAAAAAGTTAATTTCTATTTTATTTTCTCGGAAAAATTAATTTTCCGGGGAAAATGCCACTAAAATGCTCGAATAATGCTCAATGCTCGAAAAAATGTTAGCAATAATGTACAAAAGCCTAGCGAGCGTGTGCCCTGTGCTTTCTGGTTTTGGTTCTAAAGTTTTTTCTGATTGGTTATTTCACTCTAGCCAATCATAAGCAAGCACCGCAAGTGCATGAAACTTTTTGGTGAGGCATTATAGAGTGTTTTCACACACGTTGCCAGCATCTACGCAAGTTAATTGAAACAAAAGAAAGCTTTTGCATAAGAAAGGAGTTCAACTTCCACAGGAGTGGTTTGGGACACCAACATGGCCGCCGTTTCATTGTTTTGGGACACCAATATGGCCGCCGTGATGTCATGTGAAAATACTCTATAACCCGGGCATAAGTCAGACTCATAAATTACCTTGCAAAGAAAAGTTATTGGCAGGAACTCGTCTTTTAGGTACTTTGGCAAGGCATAAAAAAGGCAGGTGCTGCGTAAGTAAGAACAGAGCGTATACAAGCAGTGTAAAAGGTGGACATATCATGCCGAGGAACTCTTGATCTTTTTAACTGCACTAAAAAATACAGACGCTTTGACGCTTTCTTGATTACGTCACTAATATGTTCGTTCCACGTAAGGTTGTTCGATATGGTCAGACCTAGTAGTTTCGCACTAGTCACTCTCTCTAGTTCTTTACCGTATACTACAATAGGCGCAAACTGGGGCTCATTCTTACAAAAGATATTCTGAGTTCCTTACACTTTTCGCTATTGAGTTTGACTCTATTCTGCATAGACCACTTCGCAACCTTATCTGCGATATCCTGGGCACAACTGCGGTTGCCCTTGGCAACGACTTCTGATGCCGTCGTATCGTCAACGTACTTCCATACATTAGCTAAATCATCAACATCTAAGTCATTTATAAGTACAAGAAACAGCCATGGGCCTAATTATGTTCCCTGAGGGACTCTGGAGGGCACTGAACCCCACTCCGAGTAACAGCCCTCAGGTAGTTTGATTCTCTGGGAACGATTAGAAAGGAAATCTATGATCCAATTGATAATTCTTGTAGGCAGATTCAACCTGCACAATTTCTCTACGAGTATTCTATGATCTATAAGGTCAAACGCTTTTTATAGTCAAAGAGAATAGCTCAAACTGTAGCGCCGTTGCCATCGGTTGCCTTGGACCAGTTGTGAAGCATGTGTTTCAGCGCCTGGGTTGTTGAGGAATTGGGAACAGCTCCATATTGGCTTGGGTCGAGCACATCCAGAACTGCAGGCTTTACGTAATCGAGAATTACGCACTCCTCTGCAACTTTCGATAGACATGGAGTAAGGGAAATAGGCCTGAGCTGCTTCTTCAGGTCTTCAACTGGCTTCAGTTTTGGTAGAGGAGACACATCCGCGAACTTCCAGATCTTCGGAAGAGACTGCTCACTCAAAGAGAGGTTGATGATTCTGCTGATTGGAAGGGACAAACATTCAGAATACTCCTTGAGCATACAGTTTGGTATCTCGTCTGGACCACAAGCCTTGGAAGGGTTTAACGCAGTCAATCTTTTACAGATAGTACATCTAACCGATTTTTTGAAAACGAACCTAACGAAACTTGCAGTAAAAAAGGGCCAAAAGACAGGTTTTTTGCGCCCGATAAGCTGGAAAATCACACCAGCGAAGGAAAAGGAGAGGAAAAATAGAAAAAGCGGGGAGGAAAAAAGGGAGTGGAGAGAAAAGGCAATGGTAGCATTCTTAGCTTTCATATTTGCTACTTCATACACACCCTCACTCATGTTTCCCTGCAGTGCACCCAGAGGGTCGGTATATCGGCTCATTTGACACATAAGATCAATACAAAAACAAACCTTTTAAAGTTTTCTTTATTTTTCTGCACGAAAAAAACAACGGTGACGCATGGAGTTGTTCAGCTACGGCAACTAAGGCGAGTCGGAGTCGGAGTCGTAGGCAGTGTAAGCGGAGTCGTAAGAGCGCTTATGACCTAGTGAATATCAAAAAAATAATAAGCGCGACGGAATCAGAACAATTCAATTTTCTTCCGACTCCGTCCCTTATGTTCCGCTTATGATCAAGTGAAAACCAGATTTTTGGAGTCGGAAAGAGAAGCGGAAGGATAAACCAATCACAATGCACGTTCCCACGCTTTGTGCTTGGTTTAGTTCTTCCGCTTCTGCTTGCGTCTCCGACGACCCAGTTTTCACTTAATCGTAACGACAGAGTCGAAACACGAATCAGAACGCTTTTTTCACTAGATCGTAAAGTTCTACGCTTCTGATTACGAGCTCCGAGTCCGACTCCGTCGCTAGTGTAAAACCAGCCTTAAAATCGCTTCTCTGGGTCTTTCTCTCGCTTAACAGTTGCTACAATAGCAACCACAAGTTTAGAATTCAGTTACAGGGCGTTTCTTTACCCACTCCATTATTTCGTGCACATTTAACACCCGTTTATAATGCTCCACCAAGAGCGGGAACTTCTCAAGTTCTCCAGGAACATCTTCCTTATCCTTCGAAAGAAAGTTGTTAAACAATTAAAGAAAGTGACGTCGGTATAGCATCGGATAAGAAACAGAAAGAAATCGTAGTTACGCTAGAGGCGTTTAACCTTTCTTCTGCGTGTGATAAGCCTCAGGCTATGTTTTAAGCTATATTCACCCTATATAGCTGGATAGCTACAGTTGTGATTGATTTATCATTTATTAGTGAATAATAAAAATAGGGGGAGGGTAATTTCAAAGAGAAAGGGGAGGAGGGGTTTTCACTTTCTTCCCCTGAAAAGGGGGGGCTTATTAGAGAGGGTAACCTGCGAGCAAGCTCTCCACTTGGGAGATATCGTGAACTTTGCTCGCCCAAATAGGAGAGCTTGCTCGCAGGCTAGGATATCACGTTTGCCATTTGCCTTAAACGCGATGCTTAATCGCTCTAATAAAGAGCTCGAAAAAGTAGTAAACGAATATCCATCGGCGCTGCCGGGAAAGGGGCCTTAAAATAAGGTAACGTATCAATTTTGAGGGTGATAAGGCCAAAGAAAGCGACAATATTGCTCCATCAAGTCCACACAAAATTGTACAGACTTTTGTATGGTAAGGGGAGGATAACCAACTTACAGCTTTCCAGGTCAGCACTAGAGGTATCAGTAGAAGTTTTCATTAAAAGGAAATCAATGACTACATGTTGCTAGTGCTTTGTAGAATATTACATTTAAGATAAAGCAATGTCGTATAAACACGATAGTCGGTCATTTAGGAAATAAACTTCCTAAAGTTTTTTAAGTAATGAAATTATATTTCAAATTATTACGTTTAAATCAAAGAGAATGTATAAAAGGCTGTCAAGGCAATAATAATTGTGTGTGATAACAAACTAACCGAGAAAATTCGTATTATTACCCTTTAATAATTCACCCAATTTGAGGGAATCCGGATTCCAGGATCCGGGGAATTTTTCCTTAAGGAATCCTGAGTCCGGGAGATTTGCTTGTAGAATCCAGAATCCTGGGCCAAGCTCCACTGGCAAAGACTGGAATCTAGTACCTGGAATCCGGAATCCACGGCATGGAATCCAGAATCCAAGACTGTCCTTGATTCCCTTACATGCGGTGAAATAATATACACGAAAAAATTTACTGGATCACAATTCGTCGCCAAAACACATCCTATTGTCACGCGCGACCTTTAAAGTGGTTCTTAAGTCTTTCTTTTACTGTTTATTAGCCAAACTTTAGCTCTGCATTCCTCGAGATGTTTTGTTAACTAAAAACTGCATTGCTCTCAGCCAATTAAATTCCAGAACATGTAATATGAATTCATTAAAGAACTAACGTTTGGTCTTGTTAAATTTTAGTGCGGGCCCATTGTTTTTGAGCAAGAATCATTTTCCGCTGAAGTTCTAGTTTCAATTGCTGCCGCAGTTCATCTTCCTTTCGTTTAAAGCTGAGCTCCATGGCATTCTTTTCCCCTTCGAAAATTTTGGCAAGTTCATGTTTTTGAATTCTCAAACTATCAAGACCTTCTTTGAGGACTTCAATGCTCTGCAGAAGATAAGCTCGCTAAAAAGAGTACTTCGATTCACATTCGTCTTCCACGACTTTGCGCAAAGAGGCTTTCTCCTGCTGAAACCTTCCTGACATCGCAGCTTTTTCTCTCTCAAACGATCCTAACATGATTTCTTCTTGTTTCCGCAGGAGAGTCAAAAGTTCCCTGTTGTCCGCTATATTAAAGACCTTGTCAGAGCAACTGCCTGCAGTTCCATTCGCCGTTGACTTTGTAATGGTGTCAGGGATTTCGTTCTCGTTTCACAAGCTCAGGTGATAGAATGCATCGCGATAAACGTGTCTAGTGAAAAGGTCGAATGATCTCCTCAGATCACAAAGTTCGTTTAGAAAGAAGTCTTTTTCCTCTGTAAGAACTCTAATAAGCTCGTCTTCAGCTTTAATGATCTCATTATACTCATTCCTCACTCTCATTTCAAAGTCCTCTTTCTCTTCAGCCCATTCTTTCTCCTTTGTTTCTCGCACTTGTTCCAATTCTTCTTCAAATTCCTCCATTTGTCGCCGCAAGATTTCGTCAAATTCTGTTTGACACGACGATTCTTTGGTGTCTATAATTTTTTTCCGCGGACATTGCTGGCACTTTTATCAGAATTATCAACCTCTTCTTTAAATTGGAAAAACGCTTCTCTTCTGCTCTCCGCGGTCTCAGTNCGCAGTTCATCTTCCTTTCGTTTAAAGCTGAGCTCCATGGCATTCTTTTCCCCTTCGAAAATTTTGGCAAGTTCATGTTTTTGAATTCTCAAACTATCAAGACCTTCTTTGAGGACTTCAATGCTCTGCAGAAGATAAGCTCGCTAAAAAGAGTACTTCGATTCACATTCGTCTTCCACAACTTTGCGCAAAGAGGCTTTCTCCTGCTGAAACCTTCCTGACATCGCAGCTTTTTCTCTCTCAAACGATCCTAACATGATTTCTTCTTGTTTCCGCAGGAGAGTCAAAAGTTCCCTGTTGTCCGCTATATTAAAGACCTTGTCAGAGCAACTGCCTGCAGTTCCATTCGCCGTTGACTTTGTAATGGTGTCAGGGATTTCGTTCTCGTTTCACAAGCTCAGGTGATAGAATGCATCGCGATAAACGTGTCTAGTGAAAAGGTCGAATGATCTCCTCAGATCACAAAGTTCGTTTAGAAAGAAGTCTTTTTCCTCTGTAAGAACTCTAATAAGCTCGTCTTCAGCTTTAATGATCTCATTATACTCATTCCTCACTCTCATTTCAAAGTCCTCTTTCTCTTCAGCCCATTCTTTCTCCTTTGTTTCTCGCACTTGTTCCAATTCTTCTTCAAATTCCTCCATTTGTCGCCGCAAGATTTCGTCAAATTCTGTTTGACACGACGATTCTTTGGTGTCTATAATTTTTTTCCGCGGACATTGCTGGCACTTTTATCAGAATTATCAACCTCTTCTTTAAATTGGAAAAACGCTTCTCTTCTGCTCTCCGCGGTCTCAGTCTCGCTGGATTTGAAACTTTCGCTTTTGTTTTCCATTGAGTTTTTCTTTCTCTTTCTCTCTGGGAGGCTATAAATGGCCGAGAAAAAAAAATTGTATCGAGATTATGCTAACAGCGAATTTCAGTTTCGAATAAGCTGTGTTTATAATTCATTTTCCTTTCGTCAGCAAGAGTAGTTTCATTGGAATTCACTGACTTTAGTAGTGCTTACTTTAAGGACGTTGTGCCAGTAATTATAAACGACAGGTGCGAGATTAGTTTGTTTATAATTTGTATTCCAAGACTTTTGTTTGAAAACTAAAACTACCTGTATATTATGCAAAGTAATTTGCGTAATACAGATCGAAAACCCCGTCCCCTGGAGGTCTAAGACAACCTCGCTAACAAAAATTTCATGAAGTTTTACTTTACAAGCGTATCTTCACCTTTATTTAAATTTCTGCTCAAATATTTTGTTTAGTCAGTTTTTTAACGAGTAAGACATTAGTTGGTGCAACCAGTCAAGAGTGAACCGAAACTCTTGTTTTTTTTTTATCTTGTCCTACATCGAAACACTGTTTTGGTGCTACATTAGTTGCATTTCAGCCCGCTTTTAAGCTTGAGATCGTTTAAAAACTCCCAAAATTGGCCAATGTCTAATTTAATCATAGTAATTGTCGCAAATATAGTAAAATGGGCCCTTTAACGAGCCCTAAGAGATATCCCAAAGATAAAGCCTCTTCCTATACGTGATATGTCTAAGCAGGACCAGGATTACATGCGCCAGTGGGCCAGCGAGCATGGCAAAGCCGTCAGACAGCTCTCGGTTCGTCAGAACAACACCAAACATCCAGCAGGGACTCTTCCTCTAAACATGTATAGGAAAGAGCTACCTGTTGGCGACCGAGTCACCGAAGAACCCAGTTCAGCTGATGATCTTGGTGACCAGCTATCAGAGTATGATTCTGACTCCAGCAACGAAGAAGACAGTGCAACCCACCAAGAAGACGCGGTCGAGGCTGTTCCTGTAAACTTCCTATCAAAGACAGTGCGAACGCGTACAGGACGACAGATCACGCTTTCCTATCGTGCTTTTTCTTCATACTGAGGTACAAAAAGCTATTTCTTTTTGCAGAAGTCTTTAAAAACACGCGTAAATTCAAAATATCAATCGAAAGGATCAACCTACATCTTACATTTATTAGCTTTTGTAGAAATTAGACTTTTTAATGTATTTTTGTGGGAAAGAAAAGCGGGATTCGGGAAACTGATGAAAAACGTGCGGGATGCGGGATTCTCGCGAAAAAGGGACGGGAATGTGGGATCAGAACCCCCCCTTCCAGACCCTCTTTAACTTGTACCGTACCACACGTAAGATGTCGAATTTGAGTTAAACATATTTCGCAAACATTTTATTGGAATGCAGCAGTTTTTGGACGAAATTCTTGTTAATTAAAACCAAATTAAGGCAACAATTTTTCGGCCTATAAGCTTCCAAATTGTGCTGCCTAAATTGCCACTGATTACGATGGTTTCTCTATAAAATAGGCGCAAAGGATGGCGGGAAGGTAAATGATGGAGGAACGTCTCCCACTGTGGGAAGTTAGTCGACACGGGATAATCGCAGGCGAAATCATTGCAAGCATAGTTGATATAAAGAAGAACAATGGAGCCAATCCCAATCTCAATCCCGTCCCTTCAAGTCTAGTCCCGTCTCAGAATGGAAGGCGCTAAATGACATCTATCGACACCTAGTGCCCAGCCGTACGAGGTGTATGGGGATGTCTATGAGGGCAACTAAAGCGTTTGAGGGGGATATGTGTTGGTACATTGACGTTCCCATACAATACGTAAATACTAAAAGCCTCGTGCCCAACGGTGATGATGAATGTTAGTCTTGCGGGCTCATAAACCTGTGATCTCATTCCATATAACCGCTCCTTGCGCCTTTCTTTTCCCTAACATCATTTTTCCTGCTTTGCTTATTAAAAAAAACGTTTAAACTCAAACTTTTACAGCAAGGAGCCCAAAAGTGTGACCTCCTTTAATTAAATCACATTCTTTCTCGCCTACGAGCAAGCTCGACTCCATTTCGAGTGCGACTGTCCCCCAACAACGCTGGCTCTTCCTCACTCTCACATCTCCTTTCGTGTCCCACTCGCGAGCGACTTCTCACAATGAGCTTCCTCGCAGGCTACTGTCAGGGGGATCCAACGACTGTTTTTCTGTAAAGTAGGAGCAAATATTGCCAAGAAATTTCTTGAGCTCGAGAAAGGCTTAAAATTCCTGGATAACTGCAAGTCCTATTCGTATAAGGTATTCGGAGTTTTCTATAAACTTATCGACGATTTTCACATTTTTTTTTTTACCAAGATATTACCATCATTATTAAAGAAAGTCTCCTGAGAATTTCGGTATAAAGTACGGCTACTCCATGTGCTCTATTTTTCGACCAGTCGACCCATCATGGTAGCTAACAGTTTCGGATGAGAGGAAAACCCTCCAAAAACTTTCGAGACGACCAAAATTCCCATAAGACACTCAATTGGAACCATTCGGTCGTTGCGTTGGGTGCCTCTGAACTGTATATCCTAAACCAAATTCATCGGATGTACAAGATTATTATCGGACACTGTACTGTGACATAGATTCTCATATGTTTTTTGATTTTAATGTATTAGCAAAACGTGGCGTAGGAGCCATAATTTTAAGATAAGACCCAAGAAGACACGTACAAATTACTTTAACTTTTCATTTTTCAATCGCCACATAACAGACTGGAATAGTATTCCATCGAACATTATGGAACGATGCACTTTCATAAAGCAGTTTTAAGTCCTATCTATTACATCATTTGTGTCAATTTTAAATCAGGTGTAACTCGTGAGTGACAAGTATGCAATTTAATTAGGTTAGCTTTGGGACGCATTTAAATTTTACTTCTTAATTTTTAGTATGTTTAATATTGGATAATATTCTTTGTATGGGAAGTTAGTTTCCCCCAATTAGACTCCAGTCATGCACTTTTTGTATTTTCTGTAATTTATTTACTTGTATTTCCATGACAAAGTAGTGTTAAACTTAAACTAAACCTACAGTTGCGGATCCAGGGGAGGGGCCTGGCCCCGGGGGGAAGGGGGGGGACTGGCCTGTTTCCCCACTTATTTTTAGACCAAACGGAGGCCCGAAGGCAACTGCTGTATAATTAAGGACCAAACTCTGAAGTTTCTTTATTTTTGTGGCAGCCAACAACAGTTATGGCTCCTTCCAAATAAATAGAAATGAAGAACCTTATAAATTTAGAACCTCTTTTGCCAGACCTCAAATAACGTAGTATTGTATGTAATGTCTTATTGTATGCCCAATAAGACTGCTGCGGCCTTGCAGAAAAATCTGGTGGTCAAATTGTTCCACTCACAGTTATGGTGAAATAGAATATTATTGAGAATATTGTTATCCTAAGGCAGAATACATAGAACGGAGCATTCTGCTTGGTTGAGGACCGGAGTCATAGTCAGAGGTTGTCTTCTTTGAAGAATTTTGTCAAGCGTACGACGTTTCTCAACTTCCTCGAGCATTTTTGTAGTGGCACCAACTTCCAATCTATTTTCATGTTGTTTGACGTATTTATAGTAAATTCAGGTGAGCGTTGAGAGGACAATTTATTTTTGTGGTGTAGGCGTGTCAATTATTTCCCATCGAATCTGTTGGCCTTTTCTCACAGAGCTCAAGAAGCCGGCTCTTTTACAACCCTCGTTTTTGACTGACGCTCAAATTGTCTAACTCATGCAGTTCCCTCTCCACTCCAACACGCAATGTGCCTTGTGATATTTGTGCCGGTCCATTCAAATTAGCCCTCCAGGGGAAAAATCCTAAGGGGTTTGTGTATACACAGACGAGGCAATTGGTTATTTATCAGTTAGAGGGTACGAACAAAACAATGATCTTGCACAAACTGTTTGCCTTTTGCAACATGTGGTAAAGCACATGTCGAATTCGAATTAACGTCTTAGCACCCAAAGATACTACATAACTGTCTCGCTTTTCCTCTAGTTTGGCTCATTAGGCTGAATAGTCTGTCTTGGGGGGAACAAGGTGAAGAGAAGACGAAAAAGCGGCGACAGACAGGGCAAGGATTAGGTTCATTCCCTGCCTGACTCCTCCCTAAGGTTTGTTTTTAAGTTAAAACCGGAGATTGCTTTTCTCGAGATTCTCAGCGTATCACTCAGAAATGACTACAAACACAGATAAATTTTAAAAGCCTTTAATTTATTTTAAAGAATGACATCCAATATATAGAAACTGACAAAAGCTGGACATTCGTTTATGAAATAGGCCAGTGTCGATATATCAAGTGAGGTCATGCCCTGAGAACACAAAGAAGAGGAGTGATGACATTAGTTTCTTCTGGGTTTTTGACCTGCGCCGTTCTTAACCTCTTATTTCATCTGCACTTCCATTGTTTTCAGGGATAGGGGTATTGTTATGTCACAATCCCTATTGTTTTCCCAGCCAATCACAAACAATCTTTCAAATAGGTGCAGATCGCCACCGGGTTTTCTTGGCGTGGCTATGAATTTGAATAATAGCACGATATATCAAATGACCCATTCAAACCGAAGCCCCTACAATATTCTATCTTACCACTGCCATTCAAACAATTATTTTTATCATTACAAAATGAAGCAATATTGTTAGGTAAATATGCAATATGTATTAAATGAATAAATGTGGTTGCATAAGTTAAGTTATTGCTACAAATATCGAAACTTTCTTGCTGGTGCTGACTTCGTTCCTGGTATACTTCCCTGACTGACAAACCAGCAAACGCTTCTTATTATAAGCTTCTCGATGACATTTCGGATCTAAAAGCTATGAGTCATTAGTAAGTTATTCATAAGGTGGAGTATGATCCATTAAATAAAAGAATTATATATACAGAAGGAGGAGGGGTACCGGCTGAACGCCGAAGCGGATAGCTCCTTCCGGTTACTGACCCTGATATTGCGTCTTTAGAGAATAGCGTGTTATATATTGTATACCAACTTCCAACCTTGCTCTTAGCTGCAGAAATTGTAACAAAGGTTCCTGCATTGCGTATTGTATTGGCACCATCCTTCGGAAATTTAATGTTATTTTTTCCGAACTGCTCCTGATAATCATCTTCTCGTTCCCGGTCACTTTTCATACACAGACGTAGGTTTCCCGAATGATCTGCTAATGACACTATTTGAAAGAGCACAAAAATCTAAACTATAAAATCACCATAATTATTATTTAACAGCACAAAAGGTCTCCACAATAGTTTGGATTTTTTTTTCTTCTACTGGCAATATTGTGAATATAATCGAGGTTTTAACTTTTTTCCCATTTTTTTACCGAAACGACCAGTGCCAGGCTTCCTCTTTAGGCGAAAGGTGATCTGTTTTAACCAAGCCCACTCGTTATCTGGTGTTTTGTAAATGGTACCGCTCTAACCCATTCCTCTTTTCGGAAACGTTTTTAAGTCCAGTAGAAAAGGTAAGCCGCGCTCAAACTAACCCAGCCACACCTTCGTAACACTGAATTATGGCCACGGAATTATGCGGGGGGGTAATATCTGGCGTCTGAGGAACTCTGAAGGCTATGATCAGTCACACTATACCGGATAGCCCTCGCACCGACACTGAAAAGAATAGCGGATTTTACTTCTGTTCTAAAATAAGAACGGTGATTTTCCGGCTATTTCTGTTAGGGAGCAAAACTGCGCTGCCGTCCATCTTGAAATGTGGATCATCAAATATTGGATAGGTTTCTGCCACTTTTTGTCGCAGTGTAAAGAGGTTTTCAGGTAAATGAGTAGGGGCGAGCGTGGACTGGGATCCACATTTTCAGGAGAGAGGACTGTAATTTATTTCACTAAACTGGCCTCTCGGTCAACCGCTCTGGTACAATGTTCGATGTGTGTGAACGACTTGTTCCAGTTCTCTACCGTTGCCGTTTATGCTGTCGAATACCTTTTTATGTCGGCGCAAAAAAAAGTATTTCCAGTACTGCGTAGACAGACTAAAAATGTGAAAGAACTAGAGATTCGAATTATAATATATAGATTTAGCCAGGGCTAAAAGC